GGTGGACTCAAGAATACGGACGCCGAGATGGGCATCGAGCTGAATCATGGAGAGTCGGGAGTTTCTGGTGGACAAGTCACCATGGGTGGCGTCGACAGTACTGCGTATGTATATCAACACGTACACGCACACCTCAACTTATTCTTGTCTCTAGCTTTGCCGGTGATTTCACGTCCATGAACGTTCCCTCCCCAGATAGCCTTGGCGGTGTGCCTTCCTGGACGATCCCCATTGACGACATCAGTGCAACAATCGGAAACTCGAAGAGTGGAACTTCTCGCAAAGCTGGTGTAGTTTCGAATGGCTTTGCCAGCATCGACCCATATTGTGCGCAACAAATCTCTTTTCTGCGTTCTCCGATGGACGGACCATATTGACCTTACCTTTTAGATCCATTCATCAGCGTTCCGTCGTGGGCTGCAGAGTCCTTTTACAGCCAAGTCCCAGGCGCGCAACGAGATACTACATTGAACCCACCACTCAACGGGATAACCACCGGCAATGTTCGCTATACGGTTCCTTGCGACAGCAACATCAACCTCAGCCTCACTTTTGGCGGACAACAGTTTGTCATGGCTCCGCGTGATGCCGTTTCAAAGGAAGGAGACGTGTGCTATGGGACGGTCGAAGTCAACGACGAGGGATTCAACCGCGTCGGTAGCCCATTCATGAGGAACGTCTACACGTGAGTTTGATCCCATAAACGTATCTATTCCCGAAAACTCACTTGTTTTGGGTTATTTAGGCGCTTTGGAGCTAGCTACGACGGAAATGGCGCCGCCAAATTCAACGTTGGTTTCGCTACCAAGACACCACGCACAAACATCAACTCTAGTTCCGGAACACCAACCGATACCGTTACGCTCACCGATTCAACTGCAAGTTCGACGGGTACGGCGCTCGCCGCCAACAGTTCCGGCAACGCTGGTTTCAAGAACGGACCCACCTCTTTCCTTTCTGGACTCGTCTCTATGGTTCTCTTGTTCTTTTTGATCTAAAGGTGATAGTGTGTACCTAGCGTATGTACGCGGACAATGGACTTGGTGCTTGTACCCAAAATTATGGATTTGTCTCCATTTTTTTTCTCAATGTAATTCACCTTTTTCTTGTACTGGTTCTGTGCCTGGACTCTCGAAACATGGTAAACAAGAGTCACTAATTACGTTTGATGGGAGGTCACTCGTCGTGGGGAGGAGTTGCGGTGGATGTGTTGATGACGCTACGAGCTGTTGATGTCTAGAATGTTATGATAATAACACGATTTGCATGAATATTACGGCCCTCCGGGAATCCCGACCGATATCTGGTAAAGTAGTTCTTAGTAGCGAAATATGGGGAAACGCTCGCGTTCCCCCATATTTCCTACTAGTCCATGTAATCACTTAGTCTAAGATTAATACACTTAAGCCTGCTCAATGGAATGGCAGACCTCCGGAAACCTCAAACCGATATCTGTCAAGGCAAATCTTAGCGGAATAGTATGAAGGGAACGCTCGCGCGCTCCGCGCGCTCACGTCCCCTTCATATTTCTTAGTGGGTGTAGCGGTGTGCACTATCTTGTAATCGAGTAATATAATTTGACTGTGACTCGTTTACATCATAAAGCAATCATGGACTGCACGCCTATTGGGGGCTACTCTATAACGAGGGCGGCGGCAGCTGACCACCCAAGAGCCAACCAAAAAATGGAAAAAATCAAACCTCGGAGAAATTAATGTCTCAACCCCTGGAATTTGGGTCATGGAAGACCCTCCCTACCGGTCGGGAATACGCTTTTAGACTTAGAGGAGCTTGACGTGCTGGTATGGACCGATATACTGTGGGCAAGTATCAGTTCCCGGACCCGGAAAACTGAATCGACACAGCTCTTTGTAAGATCATATTATGACGAATATAGGGCCTGAAGTCAGTCTCATCTTCTAAAAGCCCCTGCAGCGAGTTTTAATGCTCTTATAGAGGCAATTACTTTCTGTCTTTGATGGGTGAATACTCAGAAATTAACGGACCCCATACTTAGGTAGATTAACTACACTATTGCTGGCTATAAAACGTTGTGTCGACCTACTACTCAACTATCCCTTTTAGAGATTTCATCCCCACGGTGACAGCCAACCAGCGCGAGCCTTCAGGTAATAAACTTCTACATAACTTCTTTTCGCAAACCTAACCCTAGTCTAGCCTTGGAGCCCCTATCAGTATACTTGATCTAGTAAACCCGAGAACAGATTAGTTATTCCCATGAAGTCCGAGCATGGCCTTTGCGACGAGTTGGGTAGGTCCCTCGATATTCACGTCTCCTAGATATCCCAACCAGCCTTTTCCGACACTCGCGAACGCAATTGGGGCTTCCAGCTCGCCTTCATTTTTTGTCGGCTTTCGAAATCTTTCGTTGAGGTAGATTGCCTCTTCTCTCGTGACACCATTTGCGTGAAGTGCTTTCATAGAATACGTCTTTGGTAATGGGTCAACAGTGCGACGACCCAACTCTTGTATTGCAGTTGGCGAGCTTTGTCCTTGTTTTGATTTATCTTCATCGTTACGAATAAAGTCGCGTCGCTCATAACTCCCTCCCGTCCAGTTCTTTCCAAACTGCTTGAAGAATTGTTTGAACTGGGTCATGTTCATGAATGACGGAAACATGAAACCAGCGATGACCGTCCCCCCTTTTTCGGTGGCGTAGGACACTAGTGCTTTGGTCAACGCTGGGTAAGTTTGGGTATGCAAGCTCGTCAAGATCAATACCGCCGCAAACTGAGCGGAATTCAAGAGAAGAAGGGCGGTTGGCTCATCGTAGGCTCTGATTATCGTCGCCTTGTCCTCT